ACCCAAAAAATCAGCCAACTGCGCGCCGTCCGGGCGGGCTGGGGGGTGTGTGGTGGTCTTCTAATCTTTTTGGCCAAAACATTTGAATGTTTAATTTTATTTTTGGGTAACCCCTCGAAATTCATATTAAACCTGATTTGTTTTCTTACATTCCACAGGGCCTTCCGTTTTCATAACAAGAGTTAAAAACTGGTTTGGATTTATTGCTCATTCCAAACAGATGCCCTTCCTGTTTTTTTATCTGTTTGATTTATTAACGCGTCAACAGATTCAAAATCTTTTAAATTGAAATAACAGTTTCATACCTGGTTTCAAATTCAAAAACCAAGAGTCATCTTTACATCTATAAAATAGAACTAGCCTCCCAATTCTGGATTTCCACTCCATTTTTCGGTACTCCATCCTCTTGCTCCTAAATCTCTGCATTTTGCCCTGAGCAATTTTATTTGAAAGAAGAGTGTAAACACTTAGTGGTGTTCGGAAGGCAAACAATTTGTAGTGACTGCTATTGTTTTGTGGTAAGATCAGTTTCATCTTGGGAGATAATACGTCCAAATTCTGAAAGCACCGGTGGGAGAGGACGAATCTGTCCTTAAGGCAACAGGTTAACACCCTGAAGCTGATCAGAAAGTTTCAATAAATTAACTCAAGTAAGTTGTTAGATTTTATTCTGTTTTTATTTGTTTATTTAAATCAGATTTTAAATTTGTTTTTCGAACAAAATAAAATCTGCGGTTTTTAATTTAATTTATTTTTTTTATTTCGAGTTTGACTTTTTGTAATCAAAACAAATTCTCTATTTTAATTTATTCTTTATATTCTTGTTGTTGTTTTGTATACAACAGAAATTTAAGCTTTTTAAAATACAGTGAGATTGTACAACAATCTTAAGAACAGAATCTTTTTTGGGTATGCTTCATGTATTTAATTTTTCTGTGTTTTTCAATATATCGGTTGGAAAAACAAAGTAGTGATTTGGTGCATTTGACAGATAATAGTAAATATACTGTCCTTTCCCTTTAACAACAACTAGTAGTATGATACTGATGTCATTCAACATTCAGAATACATTTGTATTACAAGAAAATTCTGTGAATGATTTTTATTTTTCTAAGTTTTAGTAACAAAGGAAAATAAAATTATTTGTTGTTGTTATAGATTTATTTTCTGGTTTTGTAAACTGAAAATTAAATTTGGTGTTAATTTTTTTCTGATTTTTTGTAATCAGAGATTATGGCTACACAAACTGAAACTGCATCTGGCAGTGGTGACTCGCTATTGTTACACCTACATTGGTCCTATCCACAGAACCCTGTTTCATGTACCAATCAAAGTCATAGAGAAAAATCGGAAAAATTTATGGTACAAAGTTTAAGAGATGGCAGCAGAAGATGCTGTTCTATCCTTACAACTCTTAATTTGGCCGGTTTTCTCCATGAAGAGGCTCCGAGCACTGTAAAGAGGGTGAAAGTGTATCGCAGTTTGTTCCAGCTGTAGATGCTTGGGAAACATTCAGAATTCCTTGCAAGAACTCATCCTAATGCCTTGACAATATCTGTATAATGTATACAGTCCCCTCTGAAAACAGAAAAAGAACTGTGATTTTTTTGGAGAAGAAATAACAAGACAGAAGATGCCGGCACGTTAAAAAATTTGTCGTCGGTAAATTCTGGACTTGTTATGGTAGACCTCCCAAACGTAAATAACTAATCTTCAAGTTCAAACGTTCAAATAATTTTGCATGATAATTCATTCAAAGGTATGTCTCTTAGCGAGTCATTTCCCAAGTCGCGTGCTTTAGTGAAAAGTACCACCGGCTTGGAAGATTTCAAAAATTATTTAAAACATAAACGCAAGAGAATGACCTTGGTGAATTGATTGTTAAGATTAAAGAATTGAAGAAATACCGAAAGAGCTGAAAAGAGGAATGATAAAATCCATTGAGTCCAAGGCTAATGTGGAGAACAAGTTCATAAACCACCAGTAAAAAAAGAAAAGTTTACTGGAGATGGGTCCTAAACAGGCGATAGTAGCAAGAAGTTCACGGAATGCTATAACTGTTGGCAAAACTGGACATCGAAGCTCTGACTGCCCGCCGCCCTAAGAAAGGACAGGTAAGTAACAAGTTAAGAAGACGCGACAATCAGGCCAATGTAAACAGAAATTGGATTACATTCTGATGGAGTGAAATGACATCAAGCCTTTCTGCTGGTGATTCCTGAGCTACTTGTTGGAAATCCAAAAGAAAGTGGTGGTGACACTGGGAACTCGTTCACAATATGTGCCACATTAATTTATATAATTTTTTCATAAAAGTCAAAAAGTTAACCCAAACAATCATATTTTTTTTCTCAACTTTTTAATTTAAAAAGTCAAAAAATATACTTATTTAAGACCTTCCAAACAATCCCTTAATACAACTATAAACCAAAAAATAAACGTAAACATACCTAGATTGCTTTTGCATGCTTTCTCTCTTTATGCATTTATGTGTTGACACCTGTTCTGTTGAACAAAGAAATATACTTGTTGGAATATGTACCTTTTATTTTTTCACTTTAAGGTCAAGTTTGGCAATCTAAAATAAGTAAACACTTTTTATCTTTTTATCTTTTTTTCATCACATCATCTCTCTATTTTTCTACACATCTTTTTGTAAAAAAACAAAAAATACACTTATTTAGATCATCCCAAACAACCCCTAAGTAACATTTGAAGGGTTAAATTACCTCATTATTTAATGTGTTGAAAAGACTGAACTTGTTCATTAAATTTTATTTATATTTTTTTATTAATTAATAATATCACGTAAGAATGTATCACCGTCCCTCTTTCCTTTTTATTATTTTTATTTTTTTCTTTTTACTCACTTATTTTATTTGCACCATATGCAACCACGGATATACACTAGCACATATAAACCAAAACATGAACATAAACATACCTAGATTGCTTTTGCATGCTTTCTCTCTTTATGCATTTATGTGTTGACACCTGTACTCTTGACAACAGAAACATAATTGTTGGAATATGTACCTTTTATTTTTTATTGTTGGAATATGTACCTTTTATTTTAAAAAATTGAGTGGATCACTAAAAAGTGGAATATTAATAATTCTAAAGTGGTGTGAGTCTCACATGATGAGATGTTTTGCTCTTCTGTTTGTTTGTTTGTTTTTTGTGGATCCCACATAATGGGATGTTTTGCTCTTGTATTTTTTTTTTTTTGAATTTCCACCTCATTAATGATTCATTAGCGCCCTCAAATTAGTGGGAAGAATCATTGTTGTTTTATTTTTTTCACTTTATGTGTGTACATATAAATAAGGATTAACGGTTAGCACAGCAGTGATTGTTTTATCTCAATTTGACTTGTATTATAAATTTATTTTTATAATTCGAACTGTTTGTTTTGTAGAGTTTATTGAGTGTTTTGTGCCTATCAAAAATCATATTAATCGGATATCAATAATTATATGATTTATAATCGATCATATAAAATAAACAATAAGTTTTTCTTTTGAGAAATAACATAAAAAATATACAATTCGATCATATAGTTATTGATATCCGATTAATATAATGTTTGGTAGGTACGAAGTAATCAATAAATCTTACAAAATGAACAGTTCGGATCATAAAAATAATCTCATAATACATCTCAAATTGAGACACAAGAGTCACTGTTGTACCTTTAGCACAACAGTAATCCTTAATCCTATAAATAAACATTTTGAAGGGTTAAATTACCTCATTATTTAATATATGTTGAAAAGACTGACTTTGTTCCTTAAATTTTATTTATATAGTTTTATTAATTAATAATATCACGTAAAATTGTGTCACTGCCCCTCTCAATATATATATATATATATATATATTTCCACCAGATTGGATTACAAACAAGAAAAGAAGTGGGAAAAGAAGGAGGTAGATGGAGCTAGCTTGTGCAGTTACTTGTTTCTTTACTCCAAAGGAAACTAGTAACAAGAATCACTTTACAATGTTCCTTATACTTGTGTTGAAGAAAAACTCCAAAAAAAATGCCCATATGATGAAGATTCTCTCGCCAAGGCATTCAAAAGCTATATGCTCACCCAACCCAATCCCAATCCTATCAACAACCAATGTCCAAGCAATTTACTTGCTTTCACCATCATTCACATATATATGTATATGTTTTCAAAATTTCCATTACTTTTATTCCCAAAAGCACTAAAAATAAAATAAAGAAAATTAAGACGAAAACGATGCCAAAAGAGCTGCCCTTCTTGTTTCTTTTAGGTTAAGGTTAGATTAAGAATTTGCCTTTCACAAATTTACTGAAACACAATTTTAAGTTGTTTGCCTATAGCCACAACATGAGTGCACCGTCACTGACATGTTTATCAAAGACTAGAATTCAGGCTTTTTTGCATTGAAATTCTGAAATCAATTTTTTTGAATCCACAACTAAAGCAAGATCCAATAATTAATAGCAAATTATATGTAAGGAAGTTAGACATTTACATTTGTATGATGCAATTAAAATTAGTAGAACAAAAAGATTTTTTTTTTTTTTTTACTTAAAGCATGTCATAATCAATGTAAAAGAAAACCTTTTTTTTGGAACGCCAAAATACACTATGAAATAACAATTGCTGTCCTCCTATTTATTCTACAAAGAGTGGTATCACATTTCTTATTATGCTTCTTTATTACTAAAAACCACAAATATTTTGTACTATATTTTGATATCATATTCGACGCCATGAAGCACTATCTTATACCCATTAAATCACAAGTTTTGAATGTTAATCATATTGGTTTTTTTTTTTTTTTTTTTTTTTTCTTGGACATAATCAAAATTCAGGGTATCACTATTATCAATAGGCATATTGTTGTCTTAATCTTCAGCATTCACTTCCATTCAAAAAAGAGAATGACTTCCCTCCAGTCTAATCACGGGCTGGATGGTACTGTGGTGTTCGTGGTGGCCCACCACGAGTCCCATTCAATAATTCGAACTTTTAATGTGTAAAATTCGTCGAATACTATATGTCTATAAAAATCACGTTGATCGGATATCGATAGTTATGTGATCAATCCATTTTATATGAAAAAAATGGATGGTGAAAGATAAATGGCTTACAAAAATCTGACTTGATCACATAGCTATCGATATCTGATCAACGTAATTTTTGTAAACATATAGTACTCAACGAGTTCTACACATTAAACGGTTCAGATTATCGAAACGGGACCGGTGGTGGGTCCCTACGGGCCCAACAGTACCCTCCAGTCTGATCACGGACTTGAGGAAAGTCATTTCCTTCAAAAAAATATGTGAAATTTTTATATAGAAAAAAATAGAAAGAACTATGTTGAGTTTAAATTAGTTGATTTTTCATACGGCAATGGCTTCCCTCCAGTCCTAAATCAAATTGAATGGTATTGTTGGTCCCGTTGGGGCTCACCACGAGCCCCGTTTCGATAATCCAAACCGATCAATATGTAAAATTCGTCGAGTACTATATGTCTGTAAAAAATCACATTGATCGAATATCGATAGCTATCTCATCGGATCAATTTTCTGTCAACTGTTTATTTTTTCATTGTCCATTTTGTTTTATGCAAAACTGATTTGTTTACATAATTATCGATATTCGATTAATATGATTTTTTACAAGTATATAATACTCAATGAATTCTACACATTGAACGATTAGAATTATCAAAATGAACCCCATGACGAGCCCTCACAAGTCCAACAGTACCCTCTAATTGACTGGAGGGAATACCGGCATTAGGTTTTCGTGAACTTTAAATGTTCCATTTTGTAGACAAACTATTGTTTAGTGGACAATAATTAAGTTGAAAAACATGTTTTGCTTCAAATGATTAAACTAATCCCGCTAATTATTCAATCATGCCCTCCAAAGTCAAACATGTCTATTTCTCGCTTTGGTTGCAATTAGCTTTTAAAATATTCCCACTTATCTGTTTTACAACCTTTTTTGCAACCTCGCAAGAAACAAGAAATCTTTGCGTTGTTGATTAACTATTTTTTACATATCATTAGTACAATTAAATACAAAATGGGCAGAGAAAGAGAGAGACACAGCAACAACTAACAAATATTTTTATACGGCTTTTGATTGCACCAAGGATCTTCTAGAGTGTTTTTTTCCTAAAGTTTCCTAAAGTGGTGTATTGTGTGGTTGAGATTTAATCCTGAAAAATTGATGTGACTTGTCATAAAATCTCAACCACACAATGCACCACTTTAGGAAACTTTAAGAAAAAAAAACTCTAGAGGATCCTTACTCTTTTGATTGGGGGATTTGAGAAAGGATTTGGAAAGAAAAATAAAAAAGATAAATGAAACGTGAATAAAATATATTTACATTTCATCTAGTTTCACACACTTTTTTCCTTTCTCTTTCTAAATAGCTCTCCAAATCTCTCAACCAACTTAACGTTAGTAAAATTTCTCATTTCCGAGATCATAATGTTGTATTATATCCACCGGGTATACATGAACAAACCTTAACCAAATCTATCCAATACAACAAACAAGTGGCATTGATCTTATAATCTCACAATCACCCCCCAAAAAAAAAAATTAAGTGTAGAAGAATGGACAAAGAACAAGAACTAACAAGATTTGAATCCCGTTACAAAAATACGTTGCGTTACGCGTGTTTTTGACTATACTCAAATTGAGGAGTTCGAAAAGAAAGGTTACCAAAGGGAAATTGAAACTGATCCACGGAGGAGGAGGATGTGAATGGCGGCGGCGGTGGTGCCGCCATGTCAGATTCAAATCTTTCCCATTTTGTCCTCGCGTAATGCTTTTGTTTCTGCTGCGATAATGGAGCTTTATCGTCATTTCCACCATTCTTAATCTTCAACACATCAAGAATTTCGATGTATTTTTGTACTCTCCTCACCTTCAACATAATCATTCAAAAAATTTAAAACCTATGTTTGCTTCCAAGAAAATGAGAATTATTACAATATGTAAACCCAATAAATAAATAAATCAAACATACCTGATCTCTCCTCTGCTGTTTTGCACCTCCATCAGCCACAATTTCATCCAATTTAAGCAGTTGTGTCATCAACAATTCAATCAAATTCAACAGAACTGTTTCTGCTACTTTCTTTCCACCATAAATTTCTGCTTCCAAATTTGCAACCTACACAATCCCAACACATTTACATCAGATCAAAAACACACAAAAAAAAGTACATTTGATCTAAAAAATACTAGCCATTACCTGTTTGGCAAGATTGTCAACAACTAATCCAATTTCAGCTATGGATTTTGCAGCCTTGTCCATCTTATCGTTTCTGCGCGATTCAAGAACCCGTCTCTCCCGACTCATTGCACCCTCAATTAATTCAATTTTTGATCCATCATTGACTCCTGCCACCTCAAGAAACACTTTTGAATCTCTCTCTCTGTCTCTATATATCAATTTCTGATCTTGAGGATGCAACCCAGTTGGTTTTGCCAGCATTTTCTTCAAATCCCCTGAATTCCCATTACCCACTTCATCAATAAAATGATAAATAACATTTAGAGAGGTTCACATACATATTTATGAATGTGTTTGAGTAATGAAAATAAATAAATTTTGAATTTACCAAAGCTAGCTTGAGGACTGATATTGAGCTCATGATAAGATGATCCAAATTTGACCCTGACTTTAATTTTGGGAATTTGAAATGATGCATTGTTTTGATCTGAATTCCTTTTTTGTACCAGCATTCCCCCTGGCCTAACTTCCCAACAGGCTGCCGCCTCGGAACTGCCGCTTCCGCTGCCTTTGGTTGGCATCACCGGCGACGACATTCCGGTGGGCTTGGAATTCTTTTTCAACATGTCTTGATTCAAGCAATGAAAATTCTTTCAACACAAGATAATGTCAAAAGGAGTTGAAAACAATGTTTTTTTTTTTTCAAAGTACTTTCTTGTCAAGTTGAGAGGAAACCCAAAGATGAAGAAAGAACCAAGTTCTAACCCACAAAGTCAGAAGAACAATCTATCTGGTGAGCAGCTTCTCAGAATCAGCTTTTTTGACTTAAAATAAGTTGTTAGAATCAGAAGCTGTTTGAAATAAGTTTAACCAAACAGTCCAAAATAACTTTTTAAAAGCCAGAAGCCATAAGTTGGCTTAAAAAAGCTGCACCAAACACCCCCAAAGTCAGAAGAACAATCTATCTATCTATCAATCTATATAAGTTTCTCACTGATCATACAACAAGAAATTAAGCATAGTTTTTTTGTTTTGGTGAGAATCAAAAGAAGAGGATTCTATAAAATTATATATAAAACCATTATTGAAATGTATTTGTATATCTAAAAGGGTTAGGAAAGGAAGAGGAAATTTGAGAAAAAAAATGAGTGGACAGCTAGGTAAGAGAGAGAAACATATGTTTGTTCTATAATATATATTTTTTATAATTGGATATATGATGGAAGTTTTTATGATAAATTTTTTTTCTAAGAATTTTACTCCATTCAATTCATATTTTTTTTTACTATTTTATTAGATCCTATTTGAGGTAAGAAAACTAAAACACCCTCAATCTCTCTTGCCCTCTATTAATATTGATATTTAATGTTGATTGTTATTATATTTTGGTAGTTCACATACATCAAGATGTTGACTGTCTGTCATTATATTCATATTAATTTGAAATAAATTTTTGTCATTGTGTTGTCAATTACATGATGTGAATATTCACATCATATAATTGAAATGAATATTCACATCATTATATCCACATTAATTTGAAATGAATTTTTGTCAATGAATTTTTGTCTTTGTATTGTCAATTACTTGATGTGAATATTCATACTACAACATACGAACGTGAACATTCACATCACTATATTAGATGAGAGAGAATGTTCACATATTGTGAACGATCACATCACTACATGTTGTGAATAAAAATGTGTTGTCAATTAAAAATATAATGAATTTTATTTTTAATGTGTTGTCAATTCAAAACAAGAAGGTTCACATATTGTAAACGTTCACATCACTACATTAGATGAGATAGAATTTTCGAAAATGTGTTGTGAACGTTCACATCAGATGAGAGAGAATGTTCACATTATTTTTAATATGTTGTCAATTAAAAATATATTCAAATTAGATGAGAGGGAAAGTTCACATTATTTTTAATATGTTGTCAATTAAAAAGTTCACATTATTTTTAAGATGTTGTCAATTAAAAATATATTCACATCAGATGAGAGAGAATGTTCACATTATTTTTAATGTGTTGTCAATTAAAAATATATTCACATTATATAATAATAAAAATAATAACATTAATGTTATTTAATTTGTGTATGAAATTTTATATACCTTGGTCCTTTCCCTTCTCTCTTCTCCCCCAACATTAAATGACAATATTAAATATAAAGGCATAGGAGTCTAAGAAAATAGTATAAATCAAGAAAAATGATTTTATGAAATAAAAATATAAATACATGAGACTAAGTAGGTTAAAAAATTCTTTCATAAACTTCTTAAGTTAGAGCACTTTTAAATGGAATTTATCAATAAAAATTCCATATAAGATATTTAAGAATAATACTATGTGACTAAATAAATTTCATGTAAAAAAAAAGATCAATTGATATGGTATTTAGGCCAAGTTTAGGAAGACTAAATAAGTGTATTTTTTGACTTTTTTTGTATTATGTGTAGAAAAAGTAGAGAGAAGATGTTGATTGATGTGACCCAAAAAAGATAAAAAGATGAAATAAGTGCACTTTTTTTTGTTAGCCAAACTTGGCCTTATTATGTTATTGTAGTAAATCCTGTTACAAATTTCAAAGTTCTAGTACTGTAAAATAAGTTTGTAAAATTTTGTTGTATCTCAATGCTTGGTTAATTTTGTTTGTTGAATACATCTATTTTTTAGTCAGTGTGAACATGGAAAGTGTTAAGTATATTGGAGCACTTCAACTAAGAAAATCATCACTAAATATTATCTATTTCTTAATTGCAAAATTAATATACCAAAATACAATGCATGTCATTTTTAATTTTTTCTTTTTCAAGTCAGTTGTACATTTCTGTATGAGAGGTAATCAATTATTGCCAAATGCAAAAAAACTGAGTTTTTTTGGTTTTCAAGTTAGTTGTAATCAATTTCTTCTTTTTCAAGTGTTTGGTTTGAATTTTTTGAATTAAATTTTTTAAAAAACTGAGTATTTTGGTTTTCGTATTTTTTTGTTTTTAGTGAATATTTTAAAAATTTTAAATATATTTTTTCACTTTCTTAGATGCATCTTACTTAGATGTATCTAAAAAGTAAAAAAATTGTAAAAAAATATTTTAAAAAATTAATAAATACATAAAAATATAAAAAATGTACTGAATTCTTGTTTTTTTTTTTTGTATTTTTTGGTATTTAGTGAATTTTTAAAATATTTTTTTCACAATTTTTTAACTTTTTAAGTATATTTATATGTTATTAGGTACGTCCAAAAATTTAAAAAATTGCTTAAAATGTTTTTTAAAAAATTCAGTAAAAACAAAAAAAAAAACACGAAAAACAAAAAAAGTAGAATTTTCTAAAAAATGTTTTTGGAAAACTCTAACCAAGCAAAGTGATATTGTTTGGTTGTAATTTTCTGAATTTAATTTTTTAAAAATTGAGTTTTTTGTTTTTAATAAATTATTTTACTATTTTACGCAAATTTTTTTTTCCAACTTTTTAGATACACTTAATACAAAGGGATTTTTTTTTTAAGGTCCCTAATATTATAATTTTAGGAGATAAAGTGTCAAGCCCCACTTTTTATTACTCGGAAGTGTTACCAAATTCATTACTTAACTCAATTTCAGAGATAACATGCAGAAATAAACTCTTTAGTCCAATGAGTAGAAATAAATAATCATTCTCTCATCCGAATGCAAATTAAATACAACATGAGCATATTGAATAAAATGCCCGAAGGCTTACACCATTTATTTAAAAGAATCAAGAAGAAAGGTGTAACCCTTTTACAACAATGGCATTCCGCCAACATAAAAGAGGCCCCGTGGCCAACAAATAAGAAGATCCAAAATCTTGTAGCACGTCTTGCTTATTACCTGAAAAAAATTCAACAACGTAGGATGAACATATAGTCCAGTAGGGATCTCAACATAATCCTCAACAATAACAACTTACAGATAGCTATGATCATGAATGCTCAATCTCATACTAGAATAGTAATGTGGCAGTTCATACAAAATATACATAAGTATATACTTTTCTCGAAAGTAGCCATTTCATTCAACGCTATAAGCCATTCATCTTTCTTTTCATTACCTTTTGTTCCCAAACTTTCATAAGCAATAACAACTTAGAAAATAATTCCACTAAGCCCATTATTTTCCTCTCATGTTCCATACTTACAACAGGTTTTCCCTTCTTCAAAACATACTTTCAAATACCCAATTTTCCTCCACACTATCCCAAAATCTCATAATGGCATTTTGGTTTATTCCCAACACATTCATATCTATACATGCATGCCTTTGATGAAAAGGTGATAACAAATCATCAACATGTATAAAATCAACAAATGAGGCAACTCGGCCTTCCAAAACTGTAACCATCGCAATCCATGATATACTCAGGTATACTGAGACAATAATAATAAAGCTCTACTCTACCTGCCATAAGCACCGTAAGTTAAGGATACACCTTACAATCAAATGACTAGCCACATTCTCCAGACACAAGCTGGAAGGTAATGGTACCTAGTCCAAGTTCTCCAGGCGCTAGCTGGAAGGCGCTAGTACCCCTTATTCTAAGCGCGGTATATAACACCAACCATCTCTATATAACAAAGCACAACCAATAAGTGTAATACGTACACATAAACTACTCAAGATACATAAGCAATGTGTTAAAGTATATGAACACATAGGTGTGTGGAGTACATCACCTATCTCCTCCCACACACTGGAGTACATCACATATCTCCTCCCTAACAATTATACATATATAATGTATCATAGCACTTCATTACGTACAAGGTTCAATCAACACCGGTGTAATGCAAACACAACAATTCAATACAACAATGTCATCCTCCACCAATGACCAATGACCAAAGACAAAACCTCTAGATGCATGTATACAATACACCTATTAGAAGACTCAACTATCATGAGATCATAAACCCAACAACAACGTTAGTACGATAGGTAAAGGTAAAACCCCAAATGTGGGTATTCAACACTCACGATACAATAATTAAATTCTCATATTCATTCTCCGAGACTCACATAGAGTTAACATTTCATTTTCTATTTTCAAGGTCAATTTTCATAAACTTTCCAAATCAACAAGTTACACCACTTATTCCCAAAAACACTTTTCCCATTCACAAAATCAATTCCATTCTTTTTATTTTACAAAATCAATTCCATAGATAATAAAAGTCATAATCCAACTCGGTTCAATACATTCATTTCAAAACAACCCCAAAGCCATAATTAATCCTATAGGCATTAATACCTCCACCCAACTCATATTAACAATAGTAATTTACAATTATTGTTCAATCAACCTCCCTCTATAATTTACCAAAACAAAATATAATTTAGGACTTTTTCTTCTGTCCACAACAACATGCTAATTTACACTCCAATTAACCCAAAGAACTATCAATGATAAATTAATCATTCTCAAACAACCAACCCTAGGTTCCCTCACATGGTTTTCAAAGAAATTCAACATGATATGATTTTCATGCAATACAAAACTACCACATGTCTATCTATAGACGGAGTATTGAAAAAGAATAAGGAGAATCCCTACCTCAAATGGAGAACCCAAGGGGAAGAAGAGCCAAACTCGTAAGTGCTCCAAATCCACAAATGTTCAGATTAAAACGAAGCCCAAGCCACCCTCTATCTTTCTTACAAAGGACTTAGGGTAGGAACATACTAAAACTAGATGAATCCCTAGAGAGAAGGTGTGTAAAGAGAGAGGGAGCTCGGATCTAGGGTTTGAGACAAAA